AACTAGTTGCCAAGCATCGACTTTGATCACATGATCATGGGGATCGTAAAACAGTCATAAGTCATTTTCTACAGTGCCGTTGTAACTTTGAACAGTCACTAAATGAACTGTTGTAAGTCGAGTACAGCTCCACTGTACTGTGGAGCTTCTATTCCTCTCCCTCAGTTGGAAGATAGGGATAATATTTACTTTCTTCCAGTCATCTGGCATGTATTCCATTCCCGAGAATTTATCAAAAGTAGTGCACTAAGTTTTAGCCAGATCATTCATGAGTCCCTTCAGATTTAATTTGGCAGATATACTCATTCAAAGACATTTAGTGATAATCTTCTTTCAACGTTAATTTTAAAACTCCATTCTGCTCTTTATAATTGCTTGGTAGAACACAGATGCTCTTGTACGAGAAAAGTCCTGCCTCTTAATATTTTTCCATTTTCATTATTTTCTCTTCCTTTGATTTTGAACTCATTTCAAGAAGTTTTGTTCATTCTTAGCATCTTTTACCAATCATAGGTCATTCTGAACATTACCTTTCCTTACCCTATTCCTACAGTTTCACTGTATATGTTCCCTTGGGAATCTCTCTGTCTTTCCACCCTTCTTTTGGAATTGTCACCAAATGTGTTGGTGTAGTCACTTTGGCTCTTTCATTCTCCTTCTAATTTCTTATTATAATAGTTTTACTTCTGCTTGTAGCATGGTATTTTAGCATATTAACTTCTCCAAAAGTAGAAACTTTTCAAATTTTATTCAGTCAGAATACTGCTCCTGAAATAGTTTGAGTATGTTTTTTTTGTTTTGATTAAAGCAGCAACTTGCTGTTTCTGTTGTTTATTTTTGTGCCCTTTCAACTCTGTGGGCATATCTGTAGATATGTAGTTAAATATTCATATTCCCTTTTATACTCTTTAAGATCCTGAAATTTTATTTTACATGATAAAAATTAATAAGATTCTATAATATAATATGTACTGATTGGAATCACTTAGCATTTGGTGGACAGATGAAACCATTTAAAAATTAGATATGAAATCATAAGATAATGTATGATCTATGACTTATCACTTTGTTATTTGCATATGCTTATACACCGGAGATTAATTCCTTGTGTGTCCAATCACATTTGGACAATAACAAATATTCTAAAAGAACTAGAAACAGATAGCAGAGGGCATTTTGCTACTAGTTTTCACCCTTAAAGTTAAACCAAATATTTGATTCTGTTATTATATGTGGTACAACTAATTGTAACTAAGGTTTAAAATGGTAATGCAATGTGTTTGATAAGTTCATTAGTTCTACAATGAGTACAGTATATGAGCAAGTGTTTTCTTATTCTTGACATTACTGAGGCTATCTCCTTGTATGCTTTTGGATTTTTCTTAACTCTTATAAAATTTATATATGTTCCCTGAAGAGCTTTAAATAATATCATTAAAACGTGGGTGATTTAATGACATCAATTAAGGCAGGAATCCCTAACCCCCCAGCCAAAAACTGGTCCATGCAAACAAGCAAAGCCCCATCCACTGGATGCAGGCAACACGTGAAACCACATCCCCTCCAGTCTTCGGAAAAACCTCTCTCCACAGAACTGGTCCCTGCTACCCAAAAGTTGGGAGATGCTGAATTAAGATTTCTTTCATGGATATTGTGCCAATATATTTTAGTGGAATTAGGAAAGTGCTGACCTTTAGCCTTAATCAGTGATCTAGTACCACTAGATTTTAAATGCAGCCTGTTTCCCTTATAATATGGAGATAAATTCATTATTATACTAAAGGCAGAGACAAAGTTTATGGCAGGGTCACTTTTTGTTTACAATAACTGTGTTAGTCAAAATGAGGAAGTGTTGGATGAAGGAACAGTCCAACAAAATGAGTTTCAACATTCTCCAATTTCAACATTAAAATCTTTTGTTATATAGGGAAATTTTTTTTATTTTTAGGTAGTAAAATTTAAGAGAATAGAACTACAAATATTTTAGCTCTTTCTTATCTCTAATTAAAACAGTAATATTTTAATACATTTGTTTGTAATAGCGGTCCCATGTATGTGGTCATGCCAAGAACATGACCATAGCACTGATTTATTTTGTACTGAAGTTCTTCTGTTATTGTTTGTACCAATCCCTCAGATATCATCCTGTAGTAATAGATTTTTCCTGGGCATGGATATAATTAATTATGAAGCTATATAACACTTGTGTTCCTTAGAACAGGGATCCCCAACCTATAGGCTGTAGCCTACTGGCCACTGGGCCGTGGGCAGACTGGCCAGTATGCACACACACAAGCGTGCACTGATCCCCACTCGTGCTAGCACCTGTGGACCCATTTGCGCATGCACGTGGGGTTAGCATGGTGGCTAGCACCTGTGCGCCTGCGCAAATGGGACTGTTAGCATGCATACGGGTTGCATGGCCCATTTGCGCAGGTGTGCAGGGGTTAGCAGCGACGGCAGCTACCATGCATAAACGGGGCCGCTAGCACTGTGTGGGTTTCAAGGCCCATTTGCGCATGTGCATGGGCTATTAGCAGTGGGTAGCACCTGCACACCTATGCAAATGGGGCTGCTTGCTATGTGTGGGTGCATGCAGCCCCATTTCCGCATATGTGTGGGGGCTAGCAATGGTGGCTACCACCTGTGCACATGCACAAATGGGGCCGCTAGCGCCGTGCAGGTTGTGTGGCCCATTTGCACATGTCCGCGGGGCTAGCAGCGGCAGCTAGCACCTGCACACCTATGCAAATGGGCCACTAGTGTGGGTGCGTGCAGCCCCATTTCCATATGCACGTGCGTGCACACATGTGCAAATTTCCCAGCTGCTCCCTTTCCCTCCGGGCCGCCAGCATGAAAGGTTGGTGACCTCTGCTTTAGAAGACATATTTTTGTCTATGTGTTCACAAAAATAATTATTGCCTGAATATATCGATGTAATCTAATCAAGGATAATCAGCAACTTACTGTTTTAGCTTTTATTGTCTATAATAAGCAAATATCTTTGATTTTCCTTTTGGATGATTAACATTGTAATTCTTGTTTACTTGAATTAATTGACAATTATCTTCCAGTAAGTGTATTTAGGATTTTCATAAATATTCTCTATTTACTAAAAACAGCATGCAAATTATTATTACCTCTTTTGTTCCATTAAATTGAAAATCTATTAAGTGGGAAGGGGAGAGATAAATCACTGAAACCCTTCCCCAGAAAAATAATAGTTTTCTATTTTGAATGGGCATTTTTTTATACAGGAAAGGGAAGAAGAGAGATGATAACCAGCCTTTTATTATGATCAAGTTCTTACAGATCTTGCATTGTGATAGAATGTTCCCAAGCATTAAAAAAATCCATATTTTTGTCAAATGAATTTTAGTTATATGTCAACACTATGACCCTGCTATGACAGCAAACTTTACATCCCTTCCCAAAAACCAGCCCTACACCAGATTATGACTTTGAATACTGATTTGGAGGTTGATAGCTGCAAACTCTCACGTATGCTCATGATATGCATTCATACAATATCCAGACATGAATAATCTGACCCAAGAAGATTCATATGATTGAAATTATTCTTGCATTCCTCAAGCAGATGTCTATACTATCCTAGACTGTTATCAAAACCCAGAGTATCTGATATGTAATTCTACCTCCAGAATATAAAACTGTATTGTAGAATAAAATGGGTGAAAGCATACTAACATAAGTTAAAAGGAAAACCCATTCACAATAAGATCACATAGTCCCAGAATAGAAGTACTGTACACCAAAAAAAAGAGTGGAGAAAAAAAAATCAACAAACATAAGAAACATACAATCTGAGCCAGAAAACCAAGGCTATCAAATTTATGTGAACTCTTTTGTATCTATTTGAAATAAAGGCAAAGTGCAGAAATCGGCTCCTCCTAATATATTAGAGAATGGCAACAGCCCAAAACTGCAGACATAGAGATTAGTGGAAGAACCTAGATATAATTCAAGACAGTATGATTTTTTTTCCAATTCCATAGTGGGTATAAAGAATAAATGGAACATTATGAATTTTGTTGGACTCAGAGACATTCTACTGCAGGAGTCCCAATCCCCAGGCCGTGGACCACTATTGGTCAACAGCCTGCCAAGAACAGGGCCGCACAAGCACCATCTGCACATGTGCAGGATCCAGGCAACGCATGAAACCACGCTCCCCCAGAACCAGTCCCTGGTGCCCAAAAGGTTGGAGGTCACTGTTCTACTGGATTATATTTTAGATAGAGGGAGCAAAACTGAACTACTGTAGCAGTAGGTTTGGGTTGGGTTGCATTGGGTTGGGTTGGATTGGATTAGATTAGATTAGGATTAGGATTAGATTAACACAATGCATTTTTATATATATCAAAGTTCTTTTCAATATTCTTATATTAGCCCAGTGGAAAACATATCATCCAAATTTACTTGCCTAAGCAAATGCATTCCAGAGGTCTCTTATGCTAGCTGTTTTTACAGAAGAACTACTTTTCTTAAACTGGAGTCTGCTGTTTTGAATAGAATTACCTCAGCATTAACAAAACAGCATGTCTTCTATAGCAGCATTTCTGGTGGTATAAACATTTGTTCTTTCTTGCATATTTGAACAAGCAAGAAGGAACTATCTCTGTTTTCTGGGTTTTTTTTCTTTTTGTTATATAAAACTTGAAGTGAAATCTTGTTATGGTAAAATCAGCACTAAACTTTCATTATTCTCTGCATATCTTATTTTTCTCATTTTTCCTTTATAATGCACGCACACACACCTCCAAATTTCTAAAATAAGCATCTTTTACACTGTCTCGTTTCTTATGAAATCAGCCCAAATCTGTGCAAGATTAATGATTAAATGTCAGTAATGACTAATTATTGTGGAATTAGATTCATATGCTCTTTTAAGCTATACAATACAAGGAAATCTGTTATGAAACATTCTTTTAAAAAATATGTTAATGACATTTTCTTTTTTCCCATTTCTTTGTTTCAAGTCAATTGACCCAGGTCAACAATTTACATGGGAACACTCTAACCTGGAAGTAAATAAACCAAAGAACAGATATGCAAATGTCATTGCTTATGACCATTCTCGAGTTCTCCTATCAGCAATAGAAGGTAAGACATTTTTTTAGAAATTACTGTAGAAACAAAAATACAGTGATAAAATAACGTACAAAACAAAAGTCATAAAATAAAATAAAAAGGAGAAAGAAATCTGGGATATAAATTAGGGCATTATGTTCTATCTCATATGTCCTTTCAGTTTGAACCATCACAAATTTGAACCATCCAAATTTGAGACAGCACTTCAACTCAGAAAATCAAGGCAATAATGCATTGAAGGGATCTGAGTCACGCAGGTACTGTTATGAAATAGAATTTGCTCTATGCATGAACAGTACATCTCCAGGTCTCTTCCTCTTCCAGGTCATGCAGTTCCTCCCAAGAGGGACGGATTCATGTAATCATCTTCAGGGCCGTGTGGAGGAATTTGTTTAACACCTGACAGACAAAATTACTTGGAGTCATTCTCAGTTTGAGACAGATCTTGTGTGATGCTTGGGGAGGGGTCTTGCCCAATTATCTGAGAACAGTTTGATCCTGTTGGCCCTGATGAAGTAGAGAGGGTCATCAATGCTATCAGTGCTACTACCTGCCAGTTAATTGTTTATCCTTCTTGGTAGGTGAAAACCCCAAGATGGTGACTAGCACGTGGATTCAAGCAGTGTTTAATATATCACTTCAGAAGGGGACATTTCTGGGACCTTTTAAGGAGGTTCTGATTTGCCCCCTGCTTTGAAAAAAATGGTCACTTGATCTCTCTTCCTCCCCCCGTTTGGACAACTTCCGTCCAGTTTCCAGTCTTTCATTTTTAGGAAAGGTTATGGAAAAGATAGAGTTCTGGAAGATTCAGAAGTTCCTAGATCAGTGATGGCGAACCTTTTAGAGAGTGAGTGCCCAAACTGCAACCCAAAACCCACTTATGCATCGTTGGGTGCCGGGTGGGTGTGGCCCATTGGCTGGGTGTGGCCCATTGGGTGGGCGTGGCTGCAGTGGTAACGGCAGACTGGGTGGGACTAAAAAGTTCAATCAATCAATTCCAACTTTGCAAGATCTTTTTTTTCCCTGCAAGAAGTTGAAATTGACTGATTGATTGAACCTTTTTTTTTGTACACAGCAGTGGAGGCCTAAAGTGAAAAGGTTTTATAAAATCCAGCTGAACGCCTAGGACTGGGGTGATGGTGTGCATGCCCACAGAAAGGGCTCTGAGTGCCGCCTTTGGCACCCGTGCCATAGGTTCGCCACTACTGTCCTAGATGAAACATTTGGACTCTTTTCAGTCAGGATTCAGGCACAGTATGGGACAGAAATAGCATTGGTTGCACTTGTTGATGACCTCTGGTGAGAGTGGGATAAAGGTAGTGCAACCATCATTGCATCCTTGATCTCTCAGCAGCTTTCGATACCATAGACCAGAGGTCCCCAACCTTTTGGGCAACAGGGACCGGTTACATGCAGAAAGTTTTTTCCGTGGCCCGGAGGGGGCGTGGTTTTGTGTGCTACCTGCATCCTGTGGATGGGGCTTTCCTTGTTTGTTGCTGGCATGCCGCGGCCCGGTACTGGTCCATGGACCGGGGGTTGGGGACCCCTGCCATAGACCATAGTATCTTTTAGGCCGGGTAAGGGGGCTGGGGCTGGGCAGCACAGTTCTTCACTGGTTCAGCTTCTTTCTCCAAGTCCAATCCCAATCAGTGTTAATAGGGAGTGAGAGGCCCAGCCCTTCAGCACTATTTTGTAGTATGTCACAGGGCTCAATACTTTGTCCACTCCTCTTGAACATCTACATGAAACCACTGGGTGAGATCATCTGTCACCATGGCTTGAGGTATCATCAGTATGCTGATGATACTCAGCTCTATATCTCCACCTCCATTTCAGGGGAGCTTCATACTGGAGGTGCTTGATCAATTAAAATCTAATCCCACCTCCCCACCCCCTGTATGTCCGGCTCCAGTCTTTCCCATCTGGTTTTAATGGTTTTTTAATTTTGAATGATTTTATCTGCTCTGTGCCATGACTGTCGATTTTAATGTCATTTCTTCTATATTGTTCTATGCTGTAAGTCGTGCAGAGTCGTTGGGTACTGGCTAGGCGGCAAATAAATTTTCTAAATAAATAAAATAAAACTCCTTTTAACATCTGGGTCAGAGCAAGGTGACTATCCTGATTTATGGATTCAAAGAAGAGCAGTGTTTCATAGTGGCTTTTTACTGCAAAATAAGGTTTCTTTATAATCAAAGCACTTTTTCCAAGAGAAATGCAAGCACTTTAAATTGCAAATTTCTGTACAAAATAAATCTTGTTTGGAGGAAGGCAATCTATTAAGGAAATGTACCTAATAACAATCCTCTGAGTTAATAAGCCTCCTTGTTATTATAATGTATTTTATCCTTCTTTGTATAACACTTTGAGACACTTTTGATGGATAGATTTAGAAAGCACATAAATAAATAGTGATGATGAAATATGATTACATTTCTCTTTTATTGTAGGGTTCCTCAAAGATGTTTGTTTTCAATAAGAGCAATTTCTCATACTTTTAAAGAAAAGTGGTACAGAGAAAAGTGTTGCATATATATATATATGTGTGTGTGTGTGTGTCTGTATGTGTGTGTATACACACACACACATACACACACACATACAGAGACAGAGAGAGAGAGAACGAGTGAGCTGCGGCTGAAGAACTGTAGAATACACTTGTAAACAATGTGCTTAGCATAGGACGTAAATAATATTTTTTCAGCATTTTTTTACCCCAAAAATAATCAGATTGGCCCCGAAAGTTGTTAATATGTACAAATTTGCTTACAACTACACCAATATAATCCGAAAAGGTTACAATTTAACTAGTTTAACCTTAGCAAAATGTAGTGGTCCGTTTAAAATATCTTCCTCATTAGTTTATGAGCATTTGCTGCAGTAAAAGAAATTCAGTGCCATAAAAAGATAGTGAGGTTCACTGACTTCAAATTCAAATTCATTCACCCAGACTTTTTAAAGCCTTCTAAGGAAACTGGTCAAGTTTAATATTCCATTTTTATATATAACATTACCAGGATTTTCTTGCTGTTGAATGAAATAGATGTATACTTTTTTTTTTCAAACGCTGTTAGTGGCTTTAATAAATGAGAATTTTAAAAAGCTGTGGAATTACTGAATTTAACTCATTTACATAGTTGCATCTTGTTGGATCCTTTAACAAAATATAGTTAGCAGTATCAGGTTTTTAAGTAGAAATTAAGTCTGATGTTTAATAAAAGCATTTTATTGGCCCATTCCTTGTATTGAACAAGTCGATGTTTTTTAAAAACTTCATTAAGAAGTGTAAAAAGAGTGGAAAGAGTAAGAATTAGAAATGTGAAAACATTTTAGGGTGAATTTAGAAGTAGTAACTATTCAGGTAGGAATTCTATTACTGTAATTGGGAATTCAATACTATTCTATTGTATATTTGAATTCCAAATGAAATTATTTACATACCTAATCCTAATTTTTCCATTATTATATGATTCATTATTAATTATTATATTATTCATTACTCTAGGTTTTTCAGTTACCAGTAAATGAAGAAAAATTATTTGTCAAATGCCAAACTATTTAGTAGACATTGAAATTGGGTAATTTTGAAACAAAAACAGGGCTTTTTTTTTTAGTACAGCTATTTATTTCTCAGTAAATACCCTAAAAGATGAACTAAATTTCATTGTAAGCAATTTTTAAAAAATAAAATAAGCATACCTTAAGATAGTATTTAATTTCTGTTTCTGATTATGCTGATGAATGACAACTATAAAAATTAAAATGTGTCTCAGAAATTTGTTTCTAAAGTATAATCTGCCAACCCAATTAACCAGGTGATGAACTTGGGGATATCAACATTACATTCTTGTACAGGAAATAGTTCTTTAAATGCCAGTACGTGTTAAACTCTTACAACAGATAATAAATTATGTTTGGGCGTAAGGACAGGTTTCACTCAAATCAACTGGATAGCATTAATTATTTCCTTTCTGACATCCTCATCTTAAATAATTGTGTACTTCATAGTAATAAAAAGAGCATTTTTATCTTATGTTACCTAAAACAAGCAGAAATGGGACAGAACAGTATTTGCATTTTTTTGCAATTTTCAAGCATGCTATACAGAGCCAAGCAAATGCTTCTTGAAGGAAAATGACTCCATTTGTGGAGTTGACTATCAGAGATTTTGATAACAAAGCTTTTCAAATGTATTTTTAAAATCTCATGGAATGATCTACAGGTAGTCCTCAACTGGATAGCCACAGTTGGGATCGGTTCTTCCATCACTAAGGGATGTAGTCAGTGGTGGGATTCAGCCAGTTTGCACCGGTTCAGCAGAACTGATACCTATTTTTTTTGTTGAATTTGGTGAACCAGTTACCATAAATCTGCGATGCGTATTGTGCTGGTGATGCCGCCATGGCGAGGTGTGTCACACCAATGATAACGTCAATGCAACACACATCGTACCTGTGATGATGTCAATGTGACATGCATCGTGCCACTGATGATGTCAATGCAATGCGCATTGTGCCACTGATGATGACAGTGTGATGCGTATCGCAGCAGTGATGATGAATATGTGAGGTGCGTCGCACCGGTGATGATAACGAACAGAACCAGTTGTTAAATTACCACTGGATGTAGTGATTCAGTGAGTCACTCAGTTTTATAATCTTTTTTTTTGCCACAATCATTAAGTAAGTCCTACTTTCCCCAATAATTTTGCTTGTTGCAGACTTCCTGGGAAGGTCACAAACGGTGATCACATGATCCCAGGATGCTGCACCTCTCATAAATAGGTGTAGGTTGCCAGGCACTCAAATCATGGTTACATGACTGTAGAGACACTGCAACTTTCATAAGTGTGAGGACAGGTAATTAGGCACTTTTTTCAGCACCATCCTAACTTCAAACAGTTTGTAAGCAAACAATCGTAAATGAAGAATACATGTAATTATACTTCTTTCAGCTATAATGCTCATTTAACTGATATTTTATCAGTGTCAGTTTTATTCCATATCGAACTC